CAAATCCAGTCCCACTCATAATGTCTTGTGTCTTCTTGTCTTTTGTAATCATTAAGAATAGCACATATAATGTACTAAAAGAAATGGCACTTACTATCTTTTACACCCAAATTCTTAATGTAATGCAAGTGTTAATCCAATTGTTAACACACAAAACAAAACACTATGTTGAAAAAGTAAAATTGCAAGTTCTAACAGTCCAAATGTTAAGAAATAACAAAAAAATAAGATACAATTAGGAATGTCTTTTGGTACACCTTGATGACAGCATATATGTACGTACATATGCATACACTCCTTAATTCTGCTATAATTTTATGTAGATATTAAATAGATCAGCAAAAATATTTTAAACTACAAAGTTTAAATATTACTACAGTCGACCCCCCTATAAGATAGAGATACGTTCCATTCTCTAGGAATCCGCTTTCTTACGAATCCTTCCAATCACAACCCGACACGTGTCAAGTTTACGGACTACGGCTGTTTGAAAGATTTTCTTCCATAAAATTAATCGATTCTAGACTAATCCGACTCAACATTTCCAAAATACGTATATATTTTTTGGGAATAATCCGTATAAACTACGCTATAAACAAAAAATTGTAGGATTACTTACCGAGTGTCACCATTCGACATTGCCATTGCTCAACATTGTTTTCGTCGCGGAACAGCTCAGCAAAGAGCGGCCGATTTCTAACAACTTATTTTTCTGTGAAAACTTCGTAGAACTTCGGAGACATCATTAATATAAATAATTTTAATCGCCGTTGAATAAGAAATGTTTCTTTCACAAGAAATGTATAAAATTACAGTACTGTATTAGACTTACGGTACCTAATTTACATACTGACAGACGATAGTTAGCGTAAAAATCTCCGTAGCGTGGCGCCACGCTAGACGGCGGAAATTATATATTTAATTATAACAAAGTTACAATAAGTTAATATATAATTATATATACAGTACCTAATTTATATATAATTAATATATAATTATATGTACAGTACCTAATTTATATATAATTTATATAATACTGTCCAGACGATAGAAATCTCTCCGTAGCGTGGCGCTACAGACGGCGGGAAAGTAGTTCGGCTGCCCGATGACGTTTGAGGTGTTTATAGGGAACTTTTACTATTTTTTACGGATACCGGTAGCAATTTTTTCGTCGTTTTATAGGAATCGTAACTATAGGGACCGTAATTATAGGGGGGGTCGACTGTATATCAAATATAAAAGCTTATCTTTTCTAATTTTTTAATGTAAACTTGGAACTAGAGCTACAAATTTCTTATTTTGATACTTTCATAGCTGAAAAAGAAAGTAATTAAACTCGACTTTGTAGTAATATTACTGCAGATGTTGATTCAGATGGAAGATGTACAGGGTACTTTGACAAATGGAAATTGTGGTAATCAATCTTAACCACTGGTTATGTAAAGAAATCTGCTGAATTTGGCTTGTAGAGTTGTCTCCTACCTAACAGAATTTAAATGTTTATGCTTTTTTTTCAAGATCTCTCTCCAGAATACATGAAAATATTAACAATAATTTGAAAAAAATATTTTATGTCATCATTACATTGAAAAGAGAGATTAAGGTGTTAACTTTTTCAAAAATAGTTGCTGATTTTTTAAATGCACTTCATCTCTGCTCAACAACCCTTTAAGCGCATTGTTGTAGATAACCAAAAAAGTTATCTTACAACAAACCATCTGAGTGAAGAAAGGTATTTTCAGTGCTTTGTAAAGATTTGAACTTTGTTTATTTATGTGAGCAACCTTTTTTCACTGCAAGACCTATACAAGCACAATAAAGAATACAACGTGTAAAATTTACTTAAGAACTCTAATAATTTCTTTTCCAATTAAACCAGCCACTTAATAGCTGGATCACAGTTTTCGCATAAAAATTTTATTATTGAAGAAATTATGTACTGCTGAAAATATCTCCATGATAGCTCACAAAAAAAGGCAATTCTTTGTGCATTTTTGTTACTTAATTGCAGAATTTAGCAGAAAGATTCCACAAATGAAACTGTTACTAATTATAGAAGTGCTTTGTAATTATCTTTTGAATTAACTTGACCAATTTTACTTCTCAGTTGTGAAGAAATGCATCAACGAATGGAAAAAAATTTTATAATAAAATCAACTTTTTCATAAATATGAGACACTACTTATTTAAAATAGATGGATTGCATAATTTGTAATGAGTTGCTTAACTTTCCAGATCTGGGTGTAACCATCTATGAATAATAATAATAATATAAACGTTTTACAGTGTCATAAATGCCAAACAACACTGGAAGATTTTAGATTAAAATATATTTAATGCTAGTACTTTTGATGATAGCATATCATCATCATCATCGGGCACTTGGAACACACAAATATCAAACATTACATCTTTAAATTTAAAATTGAATTATTATTTTAACTAATTCACTTCGTAAAAGGTCAAATATAATTTAGATTTAAAGTCTGATAATTTATTGACTTTTCACATATACTTGTTGAGCATTATGCATCCAAATAAAATTTTTTACTGCAAAATTTGATATTCAGCTATGTCTTAGACAAGTGTGTAAATGATTGGTTTTGGTCCAGTTGCACACCAGGTAATACCATCACTACCAAATATCCAATAAAAATGCTTGCAGAACTGTATTCAAAATTTTCAGTGTACCTGTTGTTTTGAGATCTTTGCCAGATATGTCTGTACAACATAGTTGGCAATGCGAAATGTCTTTGAGTTTAAGAGAAGCAAGATGACAACACCAAATGGTGAGCAGTTCATGTTGCTATCTTGCTTTCCTTGGCCATCAAGACTCTGAGGTGTTGAAGACAGTGGCTATGTGGCAGGCAGGCTGTGGACAGATCATCGGGAGAGATGATCATCTTGTTGCAATGCATAAATGACTGGATGGGGAGTCAAGGCATCATTGCAGAGACAGGTGAAAGCCACACTATGAAACTCTCTCTTTTTCTTCCCGTACCATTGATAGGTGACTAGCATGGATTACTGCAGACTGACAGTGTATTGTTTTTAGTGACATAGTTTGGCTCTGTTTGGGAATGAACACCCACCATTTTATGAGGTCTGTTCAAAAAGTATCGGACCTTTTTTTTCCTGCGTAAACCAATGATGCGCAAGAGGCCTCCTTCAGTGGAGTTGTGGAGGGGACAGTCATGCACAGCCCTGAATTTTTTCCTGCCTGCAGGAAGCGTCAGTCGTTGGCAATCGGCCTATAAGTGAGGTCATGTAGTGTGCTCTCGTCGGATTCTACTAAGCTGGAAAATGACTGAACAACGTGAGCAGCGATATTACATCAAATTTTGCCAAAAACCTTGGCGATACCCGAGTGTAAACCATTCGCAAGATTCAGCAGGCTTTCGGGGACGATCCTCGAGGCCAAAAAAAGCGCGGCAGGTCCGCAGCAATATCAAAGGTCATGTTGACAGTTTTTTCGACTCTCGTGGGGTGGTGTGTCGTGAGTACGCACCACAAGGCCAAACCATCGCAAAGGAGTACTACCAGGAGGTCCTTCGTCGTCTTTCCGATACAGTGCGACGCAAACGACCGGATCTGTGGTCGATCAAAACTTGGCAGCTCCATCGTGATAACGCATCCGCCCATTCTGCGCATCTGATTCGGGCTTTCGTCGCCAAACACAATACTCCTGTGGTTCGTCACGCTCCGTACTCTCCCCACATGGCTCCGTGTGACCTTTGGCTATTTCCCAAGCTGAAAATGCCGCTAAAAGGAACCCGAATTTAGTCGAGAGAAGACATCGTGCAGAATCCGACGGACCGGCTGATGGCCATTCCAAAAGATGCATTCCAGCAGTGTTTCCAGCAATGGCAGGAACGCTGGGAGAAGTGTATACATTACCAAGGAGACTACTTTGAAGGGGATTAGGGTTTTGTACCTCTAAGTCAATAAATTTATTTTTGCCGACCAAAGGTCCGATACTTTTTGAACACACCACGTAGTGTGTGAAGATCACTGGTAAGCATTTCAATTCCACTTTTACTATCGAAGCAGCAAACTATCTCCACTGCTGGCACATTCAAGATGGCTCCCCAGACTAGTGTAATGACAATCACACTAATAGTGGTGCGAGTGATTTAGACTTAAAGATAACATCTTCACCAGGTTCTTGAAACATAAATGTGTCATCAAAAGTACTAGTGTTAAATAACAGAAAAACGGAAAGATTTCAGACCAAAATATATTTGACATTTATACATCTGTTTTTCTGTTAGTATTTTTGAAAACAAAGCTATGGGCATATTTATAAAATAATGACTTGTTCAAACAAAAATAATGCAATTTTATTGTCTACTACTGAACAGATTTCAAGGGTTCTAATTTTCAGCTCAGTTTTGATACATAAATCTTTCAAAGCAGTTGGTTCCCACAGGGACAGTTTGAAATTTTCCCATCAAATAGGGAAAGAAATATGTCATATTTATACCTTCAGACAAACATACATGATGTTTACAGAAATTTGTTTTTTATATTATGCACAAATGTCTGCAAATATTCCAAATTCAGCCTTATTATTCTTGGACAGGGCCAGACTGGCAGTTCTGATAACTGGCTCTGGCATTTAACACATCTACTAAAAATGACTTTTTTTCTGATATGAAGATTAAAATACTTTATCTTTTGCAAAAATTTCAAGTAGTTAATTAAGCTCCCTTCTTTTAATACTTGTTTGTACTTCAAATTCTAGAACAAAACTAGAGAGTAACTTTTAATACAAACAATATTTCTTTATTGGATTCTTTGGTACATTTTTTCTTGTTCTTTTTGTTTTAATACGAGGAGAAAAAGAGTACTGAATGTGATATTGAACCTTTTTATTATAACATTTGTTTTACACCCTTTATCATACAATACAATTATCAATGATTATTATAACTAACTAAAAACAATACTACACAGAAATACTACACAAAAATGTTAAACTTTCATTTTTTTCTCCCCAGTATAAAAAGGAGGCCAAGGAAGCAGAAAAGATGAAGAGAAAGTTGTGCATGGGAGGCAATAAATCTCTAGAAGAGATGATTGGTAACAATAGGATACAGAGAGAGGGGAGGTTTGACCACATGCTTGCCGATTTGGAAAAGAAATACTGTAAACCACCACCTGCGAAGAAGAGAAGGAAACAGTAGATCAATCCGAAATTCTTCAGAAAACCATAGTTTAAAAATTGTACCATATTGATGTGAAGAACGAGTTTATTCCATTCATAGTAAAATGTGAAATTTGTCGATAATCTATTTTGAATATTTATCTATTCGTACCGTAAATGCAGCGGACCGAGTACGAAACTGTCGAGATTTACGCCGTCAAATTCCGTAGCATGTAGTAAATCCGTTTACTTTTGAGAACTTTGTATATATTGAAAGAAAAGGCTTTATCTTTTTGAAAAAAACTTTTGTCAGAATATTTATTTTGAAATGCTTCCTAAAGTCCGATGTAATAAGTCTTCAGTGACAATAAACAAGTATAAAATAAGTAAAAATTTATTGGAATAATACAGAGAAAGAAGTAAAAGTAATATTTTCTTTCATTTGTATTTTACAGAACATACCCCCAACTGAATTGTCCATTCAACTTTCCTTATAATTTCTAAATTAATTCCAGCACATAAAATGAAATTTGTTGTTGTTGTTGCTGTAAGTATAATTTCAGAAATCAAATTTGTTTTTTACGCATTTTACTTTGTGACTATTATTTTACAATAAAATAATTTAACATTCACATTTGGAAGTGTTGAAAAGTAATACAATTACTGAAGATTAATTGTTTGAAACTCGGCTACGATTTACTGTACATGTGAATGTTCTATGGTCGCTACGCGATCTCTTCCTTGTCATGCAATGTTATGAACCATCTAGAGATGCATTTCATTTCATTCCGTGCATCTAGAAAAATCGATTTAAATTCCAATTGACTGGTTAAAAATTCAAGATTCAAATAATAATGTACACCAAATAAACTTATTGTATACAAACATATATACTGCATACTTCCCAATAATGCAGTAAAATTAATAAATTCCTCAATTTACATTAAGAAAAACTTTACATCTGTTGTGTGGAGTTACCATTCCATGTGTTATTTTCGTCGTCATCTGCCTGTCGGTTGGTAAGGCGATAGATGTTTCCCTCTTGGTAGAAATTATTTCTGGGATTCACTTGTTTCCTTTCACTTTCTGCTCTGTTGTAAATAAATTGATATAATATGCCACTCAAATAAAGAGTTTAGATAATTGCAAAACGAATACTTGTCCCTACCCTTTTTTATCTTGCAGGTCGACGTTACGTTGCCTCGTGCCCTCTTCTGAACTGGTGGTCGAGTTAGAAGTAGATGGAGAGAAAAAATTGACAATGTAACTCCAAACCATCATCACTGGGGCCAAAATATCCCAGATGAAAGAAAAGTAATTATTACTAGGACTGGACGCTCTCACCATTTTTACCTATCAAAAGACCGAAAATTACAAAAGAATAAGTGACAAAATTAAATGGAAAATGATCCTTACAGGCAGAACTAATAGAGTTGCTGATGGCGAGAGCTGTAAATCTCTTAGTGTCTGAGAATAGTCGTTTCTGTTAAATTCTCTTCTGGGAAAGTTAGTTGACAAAGTAAAATCTCTACTACCGAGATGTTCTTGAAGTTCATTGGATAGGTTCTGAAATTCAAATACATGTTTTAGACCATGCAAAATTTTTTTGCTTTGTTTTATAAAACAATACCTCTGTGAGAAACTGTTGCACGTCTCTTAACGTGGCGTCGGCAGAAAACCGATGGATGACGGACGGTCCGTCCGATATTCTGAACTGGATATTTGCAAATTGGCTGTTGAAAGTATCATTAACATTAAAAAAAATTTTTTATTAAAAACAAAGTTTTTGATTACAGAATTTTAATTTCTTTACGACTACAAATTTGAAATAACTGATCAGTTTAAAGAATTTCACTTTCATTATGATAAATTTGAGAGATCAGGTAGGGTTTAAAACATTCAGTTTGCCAAATTCTTTGAAAAGAAATTCAAGTGTAACTTTTTAACATTGGTGTGAAAAAAAGAGATTAAATATAGTATAACAACATTTGCTAGAATGGTAAATTTACAATTAAATCTCAAAACAAATCCCTTGTAAATGTGCAAATACAAAAAGACTGTCTTGTAATGTTTTTACTACATTAAGCAAATATTTGATTGTTACCTTCTTTTTGAAGTTTCTGCTGCTAACCTTTCTTGTTCAGCTTTCTTACTTGCTTCAATTTCTTGCTGTTTTAATTTCTGCTCTTGCAATTTCTGTTCGTTCATCTGATGGAACTTGGCAGCTCTTTCAGCTCTGAAATTATTCAAAATTTCTTTAATTGTGGGCTTCTTGTAGTCGTGCATATCAAATGTTTTAATGTGAATTTAACTACAACAAGAATTTAATTGTTCATTAGAGTTATTCAAAAAAATTTATAATGGAATGCTTAAAAATTTATGTATTTATTTTGTATAATTAAATGGTCAAATAATCTAGTTCATTATTTAGAATTATAGAATATATGACAGACTATTTAACAAGAAAAATTATTGACAACAGTGGAAATTTATAGGTCTACAATTTTTTCAAATTGCGGCCCAACAATAACAAGGTCATTCAATTACCGAATGAGATAATTCTGTCTGTCAAGACAAAAACAGACTATTGATGAAACTATTCATTGACATTGATTATCTTAATTTTGCTGCTGTCAAGACTGATAATTATATCTGATAAAAATAGCACCTCATTAGCCATGGGTTCAGACTGAGAAAAAAAAAAGTTTATAATTATTTTAATGTAAATACTATGATTACAATAAATGTTTTTTAACTTATATGTTACATGTTAAATCCTGGTTAACATTAGACAAATGATAGAATCCAAGATGTGAGTTTGGTTATTGTTATATTTAATCCAACAATATTCAAATTTAAAAATGTATTTTTTCTTTAATATTTTAAACTGCTTTCAGGAGCTAAATTGATTTAAGTGTCACTGTTAAAATTTCGTTAAAAATAAAGTTTAATAGAATATTTCCAGAAAAATCATTAAAAATCTCTAAAATTTAATAAACTTATCTGTATTTATTTTGTGATTAAAAAGTAATAGTTCTTATATCTGATGGTACCAACAAACTTTCTTTTATTAAATATGAAATTATTTTGCTTAATAGAACTGATATTTATACAATTTAAAACCTCAATCTATAATGCAAATCAAGATGATGATAATTATGAGATGCTTGAAGAGTTTCATTTCTTTAAGGATTTTTTGATTAAAAATGTGAAAGTGTGTTGTTTTGTGTTTTTTTATTGTTTTTGCCTCAAAATTTTGATAGGTAACCTATACTTTTCAGAAATTTGTAGACCAAAGTGAAATATGGATTTATTTCATTTTAGTTGTGCTCTATTTCAGAATTAAATTTATACTACTTGATAGTTTTTCACAAACAAACAGTTAACTTTGTACCTGACAATTTTGGAAAGAACTATAGAGGGGCAAATTATTTATCATGAAACAGATCACAATGCCCTACTCATACCATCATTTTAGTTAAGTAGCTGATTTTGTATGATTGCGATGACAACTCTTGGATAAATATGCATTTTTGATTTTTTTTTACATTTTTATGTAAATAAGAAAGTTCATAATTACAATTATGGTGCTACTATTGCTTAAAAACATTTTATTTGATAAATTATTCTAAAACATTTTACTAAAATTCAATCCTAGTGTTAGATTCCTCATCAGCTACAATCAATCCTGTCACCCATTACTAACTAACATCTAGATTACATTGCTGAAAATTATCTCAGCTTTGTGTTTCAGGCATGAAACCATATACTTCGCAGGACAATATAATCTTTATGCAAAGTTCTAATCCATCAAAGAACCCACAATATTAATTTTCAAATAATTCTCAAATCTAAGTTGATTTATACTGTAGTCAGATAAATGTTTTGAATATACAATAAGATTTGAGAGTCCATGTTCTGTAAGCAAATATTTTATGTTTTCTGGTTTCATTTTTCCACTGTTGTTTTTTATGAAAAGATATAATAAACTACTGGATAGCCTGACTGTAGAAATTAAATGCCAGCCTGAATTTATTGGCTTCAATTATCAAATTATTTATAATTTAAACTACAGCCTAAGTTCATAGATGATAGTAACTAAAAGTAGGAAGCAATAACTTATTTTTGGTTAATTTAACAAATAATTTTAATGCTAGTTAGCATGAATCATTCCTATTTTGTAGCAAAAAGTAAAATCCTGATTTAATTTATAGATTTAGTTTTATTTTGCTATTTACTTTTAATTTGTTATATTTGCAAACTTACTTAAAAAGAATATACAACATTACCTGTCATATATTCTTTTAAGCTTTCAATTTAAATCTCGTTTTATCACGACATGAAAAAACATGATTGGTTTTAGTATGTTTTTAGGCAGCTTCAAATATTGTACTGATTTTCAAGAATCACATTTCTGTTATGCAAAAATTTGAAAAAGTTAAACTACTTTCAGTATTTAAAAATTTCTGAAATAAGAACTTCATCTTCCAAAAATCAAAATATCTTTGCAAATTTTATATTTAAAAAAGTTGATATTCCAGTTTTTAATATTTTTTAACTTTCTATTTTCTATTCATCAGTTCCTGTTTAATTACTACTATTTTAAAATGTAAATTACAGAACAACATTTTATGAAAGACATTTTTCACAAAAAAAATTAACAAACCTGTCTTGAGCAATTTGGGCAAGAACTCTTTCTCGTGCAAGATGCTCTTCTTTTTTTTCTTTTGCTCTTTCTTCAGCCCACTGTTTCAACTCACTTATCTCTCTTTCTTTCTGTGCTTTTTGCACCTCTCGACCAACCTTTCTACGTTCTAATTCTTGCTCTTTTTCTTTCTGAAAAGTTTATGTATGAAATTAATTTATTATATCTTCAGAAAATAAAATTATTATTATTTTACAATTCAAAACAGATACACACTTTTTTCTCTTCTTCCTCTCTTTCTATCTTTTTTTCCTCAATTAATTTTCTAGCTCTAAATATATTATTAATTAAATACTTTAAGGGCAAATTTCTATAACTTACAAAATAAAAAAAATACCTTTTCATCTTTCTTGTAAATTCAGGATCATCTCCTGTACCTTCATGAGAATTTGATTCATCATTTTGGGTCAAATCATTTTCTTCTGTTGAATTAGTTGCATCTGCCTAAATTTATAGGTAATTTTAGTAATCTGAGATTGACTTAAATAAATTCTATACAATTATAAATATTCATACCATTTCCACATCATTTGGCTTAATTTCTTGTTCCATACTGCTAACTTGATAAGTATCAAGAGAATAAGTGCTAGTTGTCTCTGTATTCAAACTTGCAACAACATTGTTAGAATTTGATGAAACTGGATTAGAAGCTGGTGAAGTTTCCTGAACTTGGCCTATTTGTTTCTTGTGCATCTAGAAAGTATCAAAACACATTAAAATCTTGTTTCTAGTCTACAATATTGTGTATAAAACTTATTAAATAATCTCCAATGATTAAATATTTTATATGCAAAATTAAAACATAAGTGCTAGAAAGGTCTCACTTACTCAAACATCTTATAACAAGCTCTGAAGTTTTCAATATTAGTGTTTTTAAATTTAAAGCAAGTGAAAGTAATGACAAAAAATTTTCAAGGAAAACTAGCTTAAAAATGATTGTGAATTGCAGTTTTATTTACAAAAATAAACCAGTTAGCATTGAAATTAACATATTAATAAAATAATATATAATATAATTCCATTGAGTAAATGTTAATAAATTTTAAATATATATATATACACACTAAACAATATACATGAATTGTAAGATGACAATATATAAAAAAAATATATTTGTAAGTTTTTTAAAAATTAATTTCATTCTTGAAATAATTATCAACTTTCATTATAACTAAATATATACTACTATAATGCTACTTTGTCGAATACTTGTAATTTTTTTTCATATTTTTCGTCTTCAAACAGAACAAAGTTGAAAAGATCTTTTTTCTAAATAATCTTAAATTTAGTATATTCAGAAACTGACTTCATACCTCTATCACATTATCAATTTTTGATAGAAATTGTTCAGGACTAAGATTTCCTGCTATAACTTCCAGAGGAATTCCATTATTTCCAATAAAAAATGAAGACGGTATAATAACAACAGGATCTTCAAATTAGTCAAGTTTATTTCTTAATTGCAATCAACGAAATAAAAAAATTAAATTAATAATTATATTGAAATAAAATATTGAAAAATAAATTAAATACTATAATTATCTTTCAAGGATACAAATTTGGGAAAACTGTTTGCATGCTTCACTGAAAAAAGTTTTTTTAAAATAATTTTTATAATTGTATCATCATTTATTTAAAAAATATATCTTAAAAATAATTATACCTATTTGCTTGAATTTTAACGGCAATACATTCATTATCATTTAATCTTTGTGATACAGATTGATCATCATACGAGGTATTCATCTGCTTTGACAAATCATCATCTCCTAAAAAATTCAGGCAATAAAAAGATAATTATATGAACTGTTATCAATATTCTTAAAATGTATGCTTAGCATATTTTGAATTATTATTATTATTATGATAATAATAGATATAAAATAATGGATAAGGTATTTATTGTACTTGTTGTCCTCTCTTCTATTGGTGTTATACTACATACAACTACACAAATGTCTAGAAACATTAAACCTTAATAAAAACATATACATGACACTATAGAAAGCTGCAATATTTAATACATATCACATTGTGAGGAAGTTTCTAGAAGCTGACACATACACCAACAACACTTGTTACACTTGTTGGGTAGCTATGCCTTGACTTTACCCTGGCATAGCACTTGGCACCAGTATCAGCTGAACATGACATTCACAACATAATAATAATTCTTAAATTAAAACTTTCCTTTTTACAAAAATTTATTTTCTTTATCAAATTTTGCAGTCTGCACACACTTATGCTGTGCATAGTTTACAATTACCGGAAAAATTCGTCATAATGTTGCCATTCTATCACCACCTTTAACCCCGCACCTGCTAAAACAATTGATCACCTGACTAATTTTCCCACCACAAAAAGTATAAAAGTCATCCTTCTTCCCCTCGGAGGAATCGCCGATCGTGAGTTGAAACATCGAAGTCGGACATCGCCTTCCCCCTCACAGACCTACACTTGTGTCACTGCTCAGAATCCATTTGGACGACATCACGGGAAAATACCCCACTAGTATATGCAAAGAGGTATGAACGCATATTTGTAAACTCTCTCTCCGCCACCCGCGTAGTAGCAGGATAGGTTGATATAATGGAACTTAGAGTAATTAGGTTTGTAAATTTTTTCCGTCGATGATTGTAATAAACTCTTGTTTTGTTTTAAAATGGTGTCTTTACTCGACGTAGCCAACATCTTATCGTCAACCCCTCTGACTCCACTCGCGTAACAGGTAACTGAACGAAACGCCATCCTTGACAAGAAAGTAGGTCACCGACCTATGGCCGGAAGGAGAGGACTTCCCAACCTCCCCAGCGGCTAACATATTGGTCCTCAACTATAGATGCTCAACAATTTAGAAACTTTTTCAGAATGTCAGTAGAACAAGTTGAATTTTTGACACATTTAACTGGTCCTCAAATAGTTAAGCAAAACATTAAATTTAGACACACAATTCCTGTGAGAGATGATAATAGTGCCTAGAATTTTAGGTATTATGGTATTAGGCAAGAGAGAGTTTTCAGATATTTATTTTCATAAACAATTATTATTATAGCCTTATTGCTTTACAGGAGATTCATATAGTAGTCTTCAGTAAATATTTTGCACACCACCAGTGGCCAAGTGTATAAAACTATTAACACTGAAAGTTGATTGTGTGTTTTCATGTCTTACAATGGACAGGCCACTTGGAGTTTTTTGGAGTTTCTTCAATGTCTAACACATTAATAGAAGCCAGTTTCTCTTTGAAAGTCTACCTGGGATTCCACCTTGGTAGATTATCCAAGTGCTGCACTGTCTTATTCCATTGATCCAATCAAATTGAAGCCTTTATCTTTTCAACATTGTGTACTTTTTGATCTAAAATGTCTGCAAGCATTCATAGATATACAAACCACATTCAAACTTTGAGAATCACAGAGAGGAAGATTCAGATGTGTCCCCGAGTATCAACTACTCTCCTTACAGGAAGATAGTACCTCTCTAACGAGTGTCTCAGAATCTTGTCCATTACTCATTTAATTCTCAAGAATGACTTGAGATTTTTTTCTCTCAAATGGACACTAGTCTTAATTGTAAAAACTGCAATAAAACCCTCGAGAATTTTTAATACTCTAGTACAATTTTCTAATAGCTAGGAAAATTATGTTGAAAGAAATAGAAGTGATGATTACTATAATTAACAAAAATCAAAATACCAATATTTACCATCCAGCCAGCAATTTACATACAGTAGAGCGTCATTTATCCGAAAGAATTCCAGTCGGCAAATTTAAATTTTTGCTAGTGCTGTGGCGCTGCAATCTTTGGCTATGTCTTGGGCTACTCCAATATTTTCTTTTATGTTGTGCTGAATCGAACGTTTTTGATACTAGATCATCTTCTAAAGTATATATTTTTTGGTTTTTATATTTTTCAAAATATTTATTTTGTTTGTACAAAATAAAGAAATAATTTTTAACGATACAATAACCACGATTATTATTTTAAAAAGTTTACATTAGGCTTAACATCGACGAAAATTCAACACAAAGCAACATGCAACGGAGAAAAATTTCAACACGGGATAGGTTAATATATTTTTTCGTACAAAATCAGTTATCCAAAAATAACTTATACGAACAACCCCAGTCACCAATTGATTCAGATAAAGGACGCTCTACTGTATATGGGTCTATATTTGGTACATATTACTGGGCCAAAATTTGTTGCCAGTATGATGTTAAGTTGCCATCTTGTATTAATTTTAATAAAGAATAGAATGCGAATTATCCAAGCCTGATTAACAAAGGCAAACCCATAAGTGAATACACTGCTTTTCTTACACTGTTATTTATAAAGACTTTTAAATCGATTACTACAGAATGATTTGTTTTTGTTACCTTTTATTATTTAACTTTAATATGAGATAAATCATTCATTTCAAAACATAACTACAATAATACACATTTTTATTCTTAAAACTATTGTATGTATTAGCTGTATAATAAATGATGAAAAAAATTGTTATTCTTATATATGATTAAATTCAGTATGGTATAAAAAGAAGCTAAAAAATATACCACACAAATCTTTTATATTTATAATTTTTAATTAAAAATTTTTGGGTCGTCCATTTTCTTCAAGTTTTCATTATCTGAGATAGCATCAACCCACATTACCTCAGCTAATTGGGATTCTACTGAATTAGACATAAATGAATAAATTTAGAATATACCCTCTTTTTGTATGGTGAATACATTCCAAAGAGCACTGCATAAAACAAAAATTTGTATAAAAAAGTCTAGCAATTATTTGCGTAACTTTCCCAGCTTTTATGAGATTTTATTTTAAAAATAACATTTGTATTACTAATCAAAATAAATAACTTAATTGTGTGTCAACATCTATTATGAGATTTTGTTATAAAAAGTTTATATATTTTTAATTATTATAAAATAGCTAGAGACTTAATTTTGAGGTTAGAGATGAGTTTTATAAAACATTATAAATGCTGACAAGTAAAATCTTCATTAAGTCTGACCCCTCACGAGATATATCCTATGATTACTCTCTATCTCTAAATCACCTTGACCTTTCACAACCAAAATTTAATAGCATCAATGCACCTTATATACAAGCTATTGTGCCAAATTTCGTATCTATCTTTACCCTGTCCTGAGATATTAAGGAAAATAGATGTCAACACACACACATGGAATTTCTTGGTTTTTTTTATTAGGTTCAGGAGTCTCAAAATGTAGAGATTTGCAAAAAACTGGAAGGGACAAATTTGACACGATTCCATGATGTGAGGGACGAACAGACCCACAATAAAGTGCTATTTTAAATTTAATTTATTGGAACTTTAATCAGTTAAAATCGAGCGTTAGGCTAAAAGCCATAAAAATTTCTTTCCCACGGAGTTTGTTCCTTGCTGAGTCGGATCCAGTTAGTCAGGGATGTGTCACCAGGAACTTTTGATGGAGAATCCATATTGGACGCGAGACCCTTAACGGCAACCACCTGACCTCATGGAAAAAAACCAAGAAGAATAACGAGAGAAAGGAAAAAAGACCCCGAGGTCAGTCGTCATCCGAAGTCCCTCTACAGAAGTCGTCTTCACAAAGTCCGCTCAACAAAAGTCATCCTCCCAAATAAAAATTGTGACCTAGGATTAAACCCGAGAGAAAAAGATCGTGCCTGTTTAAGGATAACATCTCCACACCTCCGTGCCTCCACCCCAGGGAACGGACAAGATCCAGAACCAGTAGATTGAACTTTCCATCGGCGTATCATCATTGGCGTGACCACAGATCCTTTGACCCAGAAGCAAGGTATTTATCAACCCGCGATTCATTTGTAAACTCTCTCTCTCGAACGGAATAATATAATTAAGTCTGATAATATGCCCGATATCTCTGTATTTTCTTTGTTTATTATTAAAATTGTTATTTGTTAGAAAATATGGAGTCCGAGTGAGTCACTTCCTAGTCTCTCTCCTCACTTCTACCCCGAATCCAAGCGCTCACACGCTACCGCTCGCGTGACTTAACGTCGCGATTTCCGAGTCCCCCAGAGACTCGGTGGTGTCAGATTCAGGTCTCCTGACGTGGTGTCAAAGAGACACCGACCCTATGGTCACAATTACTTTCCATTAAAATGTACTGTACACATAACAGCCAAGAAAGTAAAAGTACTACAGTATATGCTTTCCATAGAAAAATGGTTGATAGGATCCAGAACTTCAATAAAACAGAAAAATAAGCAATTTATAAAAGAAACACAAACTTTTTTATTCTAACATCATTTATCATTAACATTAATTGTATGTAAATATAGTAAACACAAAACAGCATACAGTAAGTACAGTAGAGCGTCGATTTTCCGAATCAATTGGGGACTGGGGTTGTTCGTATAACTGATATTTCGGATAACCGATTTATGTACGAAAAAATAGTTTAACGTATCCGATGTTGAAATTTTTCTCCGTTGCGTGTCGCTTCGCGTTGAATTTTCGTCGATGTTAAGCCTAACAAACACTATTGTATCGTTAAAAATTATTTTTTTATTTTGTACAAACAAAATAAATATATTGAAAAATATAAAAATAATAAAAAATTATACTTCAGATGTTAATTTAGCCAAAGATTGAAGCGCCACAGCACTGGCGAAAATTTAAATTTGCCGACTGGAATTCTTTCGGATGATTGACGTTTCGGATGATTGACTTTCGGAAAATCGACGCTCTACTGTATTCTTAAATATTCAGAGAATATTTAAGAATACTTACTGTATGCTGTGATTAAATCTACATGTACTGTGTTTAAAAAAGATAAACTCTTGATTTCAGCATACATTTTTTAACAATAACAAATTTTAAAAAGTCAAATTTAAAAATTTTCAAATAAACTTTTTTCCCTCATGTAAAAAATCAATTGCATAAAAAGAGGATCAGTTTTAAAATCAATCCAGAACAGGACACAAATCTGAATGCTTGCTTACCATATGCATGATTGCTTTGTCATGTGTTGTCAATTAAGCTACTCAGACCTCTTTCACATTTTCACTTCCAAAAAAAATTAATTTAAAAGATAACCCATACAAGTCACTCACAAGTGTAGCAAGTGACCTATATAATACATATATTGCACATTGTTATATTAACCAGAAAGTTCTAAGTTAATTAATTAATTTCTAATTATTAAATTTAATAGAAGATGGAAGCTTAACCACTTACCTTTAGTCCAAATTATGCAATATCTTTATAATTAAGTAGCCTTATTATAGCCTAATTATAATCCAGTGATATCATTTGTTTACTACTACTATATGTGTCAGGCTTGGTTTAGATGTAGTTATTAACTTAAAAAGATATATATTTAAATGAGCAATTGCTTTCTCTTTTCTAAAGAAAGCAATCATTCATTTAAATTTATTACACATGTAAATATTTTAATATTTAAAAAATATCTAATATTTTCATTACATATTAGATAAGCAAAAACATTAAGAACAATTTGTTTTAAGAAGTGCAACAATTAAATAAGAAATTTATGAATAAGAATAAATAAATTTATAAATAAAAATATTATGTTGAAATATTGAAGACATTATTTTGAAAACATCTTTTGTCCACTTTGCAATTTTTTTTTTTTGGCAAATAAAAAAAGTTTTATTGTGTTGTAACTATTAACTACAAAAATATTTCATATTCAAATTTTTGAGACCAAAGAGAGTTCATTTTTATAATCATTTTCATTGTCTTATGTTATGCAACATTACAGAATAATTAAAAAAATAAGTTTGGACAACAGAAATTTGGAAGCAAATCTTTTGGAGAAGGGACAGTTTGGGGAAAAAAATGGAAAAGATATGCAAGAACAAGAGACAAGGGATGTTTTTCACTATAGGACAGTGACTATCTTGTTGATAAGAGTTGTTTTGCCTGCAAGCTCATATTTGAAAATGAATGTTTCATGGTTTGTAACAAAATGAAAGCAGAAATAAAAGGAGAAACTATCAATAAATCTGCAGGAATCAATATCCTGATTTTGAAAACTTTGGACAAGAGAGATTTTGAAAATAAGCACTTCAATTTATAACAATGATTTTTTTGATCTCTAAAATTTAGTTAAATTTTAATTCATACCTTCTATATAAACTAAAAAAATTTTTTTCTTTCCTTTAGCTTCTGATATTGCTTCAGGAATATTTCCTTCATACCAATGCATAATGAAATATCTTTTTTCAATTCTCCTGTAAAAAGAAGTTAATTTTATTTATAAATTCTTATATTATAATTATAGAGCAGAGTTAAAAATTTAATACATTAATTAAATTAATAAAATTAATTTTTAAAATATTTCTTTCTTTTTAATGCTAAAAAAATAAAGTCAAATAATCAGACTATTCTCTACGATTATTTCTAAAATGTTTTAATAAAAGCATTGCCCAAAATAATGAAGTTACAAATTGCTTGTTTAATTCTACAAATAATTATATAAAATTTAAAAACTTCATCCTTTCATTTAGAAATTAATAAGATGAAATTATATTTAAATGAGTAGAATGTCTACATGGTTATGAAAAAAACACTAGCAGCAGCTTATGGAAAATCTTCATTTTTACTTGCCACAGAAACTATTAGAACAAAATCTTTCTATACATTATCTCACATTATATCCAAGTCTCTACAGCAGCTATTGAAAGCATGAAAATTATCAGTATGACTTAGGACACCACTTCAAATATTAAAATGTTACTTTTCTGTTACACTGCATTATAGATATAATTATAAAACACAGTAAATAAATAAATCTTTAATCAATCTTTATTATTCGATATAACAAGTGTTAAATAACATTGTTAGTTTAAGTTTGATATATGAACAAAGAATTTATATAATTCATATAATGTTAGCATGGCAAAACTGTCACCAAATAAAATTTAATAAAAATCAGATGGTAGTGTAGCAACTCAGATATCTAAAAGAATATTACAAGAATTAACATGTTTTCTCATATCCATCACTGTCATTTTACAAAAAGAACATTCAGAATCACACAGGACATTAATTATTTTACCATTTAGGTTTATTGAAAACTATTTAATCTAAATTGTGCAGCAAATGACTTTATTTTATAACTCAAATTAGACAATAAATAAGGCGCTGGAGTCCACATTCCATTAATTAAGAAAAATTTCAGTGTCCCAATCTCTTTCACTCAAATAGTGAACATCTTTTAACCAATATAAGTCTCTTAGTTGTTGATCACAGTCCTGAAGAAACAAACTTTCCCTTAAATACATATATTTAGAGGACAATCCATTATTATTTCATAATCCTTTAACAAGAATAGACCGTCTCAAAAAAGATCACAGCGTAGTAATGTGGAACAAAAGAGTAAAGAACATCTATCTGTGAAAGTCTTGTATATATCAATTTTCGATAATCATCTTCCAGTAGGTCAATAAGTTTCTTCCAATACCAAAACAATTTTATTGATAAATTAATAGCAAAGGGGGGAGGTCTTCCCATTTCCATTCTCAGTGCAGGTCCTGAGACAGATCTATTAATATAGAGCACCTGCTTAAAATAGAATAACTGTATTGCTTCAAATTTGTCCACTAAGAGACCATCTCAAACCAGAAAAGCATAATAAATACTTGGTATAATCAAATAATCTAAAATAATTATCTAATGAAGATGCTTTAATTTTAATAAGTAACTTGATGAGATTGGAAATTTTAAATGTTGCATCAAGTAAACCTTTATTTAAATGATAGGAAAATGTGTCCTGCAGTGAGAAATTAATACCAAGATATTTAAAATTTGACACAATTTCCAGTTTATTATTTTCTAAACTGAAATTGCCTGTTTTAAGTTTACCACCTCTATGAAAAATCATAAGCTTTGTCTTTTCTGAATTAATAGTCAATCAATTATCTTCACAATATCTCCAAGTATGATTGAGTCTTTCCCTAAGCGCAGAAGCTGAATTAGCTAAGAGAAGGATATCATCAGCATAAAGAAGACAATTTCAACATGAGAAGACAATGCTATCATAGAACTTTGACCTCTCAAAAGGTCAGGAAGATCATTCAAAAACAAAAAAAATAAAAAAAAAAAAAAAAGGATAGGACTCAATGGTTCTCCTTGAGGTAGCCCTCTATTGGGCTCAACATAATCAGTACAAAATAAAAAAGTCTCTATAAGATATCTAGTATTAGAAAAAGGACTCTCTTAAGTAAATTGACAAACAACGCAGACTAATGCTCCTAAACTTATACCATAACAAATTATGATCAACTGTATCGAAAGCTTCCTTGATACCAATAAAAGCAATATATAATTTCCTTCATTTCCTTAAAAGTGATATTTAAATAAGACCAACCAAAATAAACAAATTGTATTTGATGCCTCCGTTTTTAATAAATGCTCCTTGGAGAGGTGTGATGATATTAAACTCATTCATCCAATTCTGGAGACGATTTGACATAACAGTTGAAAAAAACCTTTCTAAATACACTAATTAAAGCAATCGGTCTATAATTAGATGACGTCTGCCTACTACCCCTCTTATAAATCATCCTTAATGCAATTTGTTTCCAAGATAAAGGAAAAGAGCAACTAGACCAAAAGGAATTAAACATATCCAATATATCTAATAATATTTCTGTAGAAAGGTATTTTGTCATTTCATTCCTTATGTTATCAAGACCAGGGGCCTTAGATGATTTTAATTTTCTGATTATAGTTTCCAATTCACTCAAATTGATAGGATCATCCAAAAGAGGAACTTTATTACCAAAGCTTAAATCAATGTAAATTACTGTATTTGGTCCTGCGAAATACTCTCTCAAATAATTCAACCAATCTGAGGGGGATAAAGCATTTTCACATGACTTCTTAATTCGAAATTTATTAACTAGTGACCAAACATCTCTAGTGTTTTTAGTCTTCAATAGTAATGAGTTTATTTTAGCCAAAATAACTTTTTCTTCACCTTACATAACAATTTATAGCTTTTATTTAATTTGCAGTATTCATCCAATAGATTTCTAGTTTTATTTCTAAGAAACATTTGTAATACTCAATTATTTGTTTTCTTTAAACATAGACATTAAGGATCAAACCATTGCTTCTCAGATGACAATAAAGAGTATTTTTCTTAACCATTCCACATCGTAAAGCCAAAGTTAACAAAGTCTTCAATAATTCATCATAGCAACTCTGTGCATCCAACAGAAAGGTCCCTTTAACTGAAGTATATAGAGAACTGATCAGAAATAAATAATTATTCAATCTTTCTTGTTTCCATGTATAACAAATTTTTGGAAGTTTCAGAGTCAATACACTATCTGTTGTAAATCCAAATGATATTGAAATTGGAATATGTTCAGAATTGAAAATATGAAGAACTCTAAAATCTAATAATCTATCTTATTAAGCAGATTATTAGATTTTAGAGTTAGCACTTACTGTTATTAAATCTATAACAGAAAGGCCAACTGTCGAGAGAAAAGTAAATTTAGCTGGATAGTCTGACACACATCGACTGTTTAATATATATAATCCATACAACTTAATTGTAAAAATCCTTTCCTCTTTGGTTTAATATTAAATCATTCAATCTTCAGGAACTTAAAACATTAATATTAATTATTCCCAGCATAAAAAATTATCCGAGTCATCACTTATTCTAGCATTCATGTCACCCAAAATAACTATCATTCTCAGAAAAATTCCTCAATAAATCTTCCATTTTAGCTAACAGTGCATCATAAAGATTTATTCTCAAATAAACAACAACAATTATCAAAGTTATAATTAAATGAACAATCATTTTTCCTAAAAATAAGTCTAATTACTATTACATCGTCGGAGTTAAACAACAATTCAGAACAACCTAGTTTTTTGGAAACTGCAAGAATGGGACCGTCATACAGACAACCGGGACCAGTTGGTTTTTTTTAGCAAATTGCTCTTATAAAAATAAATCTGGATTCCACAAAGAAAGAACTATTTATAAGAGTTAGTTAACCAAGTCTTAGTGTAAGCAACTAAATCATAATTTTGCAATAAAGGTATACCCTCTTGGTCGTTTGCTGTCAAGTCCAACGTTCCTTGACAATTCCAAGACAATATTCTCATTACTTAAGTTTTATGCCTCTCTTTAGCAATTGTTCCGCTTAACCCTTTTGACTAGATTTGTCTAAAAAAGTATTAATCTTTTGTAGTTCATTCGTTTCTAAATTGAAAGTGAATTTGTCACCATCAACCATCAAGCAATCAGCTTTCAGAAATGTTTTTTTATTAAAGATTTTGCTTCTGCAAAAAAAAGGCAACAATTTTCTATGCCTAAGTCTTGATCTACCGTGTTTCCCCGAAAATAAGACGTCCTCAGAAAATAAGACCTAGCACAGGTTTTGCTGAATTGCAAAATATAAGACCTCCCCCTGAAAGTAAGACCTAGCAAAGTTTTATTTTAGTCGTAACGATCATCGACAGATGGTTGAAAGTGGCCGTTGGCTTTTTGAAAGTACAGCCACTGATTGGTCAGCAGACAATCACGCCACATGGCATGATTTGCATAAGACTATGGCTTGGGAATCACATATTTGCATAACGTTACGGCTGGTGATGGCTAATTGGTCGGCCGGAAATCATGCCTCATCACATTTGCATAGTGCTACGGTTCAGTAAGCACTAATTGGTCATCGAGCCCAATGTCGCGCTATGAAAAGGTTAAGTTGAAGTAAGAGTAGGAAGTCCACTCCAGCACGGGAACTTCGTAAGTTCACTGCTGAGGCGTGATTGTAAGGCAATCAATGGCCTAGCCCGGTCTTTGGATCGGGCGATGAGGGCTATTTTTGTGAATGATCGCTACTTGCTTGGCATTTGGGCTGGGGGACTTGTCTCCCATCCATTAGGGGTGCTGTATAGGAGTAGTAGTACCGGATGCCAAATCGGTTTTACCGGTTGAGGCGTTCAATAAACTTTATCGACGACGTCTACACGACCGGATATACATCACTCTCCTTTAAGTGTAAGTGGGAATTTTTTTGTTCAACAATAAATGTGAATTCTTCTTCATGGAAAAATAAGACATCCCCTGAAAATAATACCTAGCGCATCTTTGAGAGCAAAAATTAATATAAGACACTGTCTTATTTTCGGGGAAACACGGTATATGACAAATCATCAAAACTCTGATGCATGAGTAGGATGGCAATCAAATTTTCTTTAAGTTTTTAAAAATA